ATGTTTTAGATCCGTCTGTCGAGCAGCGTTCGGTAAACCATGACGGTACACAGTTCGCGTATAGGTATTTACACTTTAATTACTTATTTTCTCTCTCTCTCTCTCTCTCTCTCTCTCTCGCCGCTCCAAAAAATCACCGATGTGTAATATCACGGTCTTTTGTGTGTCGCGGGGCTTCTGTGTGCGCGCGTAAAGCGCAACGATCGTACGTTCAAAGCCGGCAGTGAATCTCCGCGAGTCGCAGAGCGCGGACGAAGCCGCGCCAATACGCCACGATAGGTGCGATAACCAGCTCTACAAACCTTCTTTACTCTTTTTTTTTTTCTTTCTTCGCGTTTGACACTATCGACTCGTCACCATTTCTCGAACAAGACACTCGTTCCTGAGTGCACTTTCCAGCGATTTATATAGTCTCTCTGTCGTTAGAAAGTTTCACGCTCTGTTCCTTGGAATTTACGCGCTCGATCGCAGTGTTCTGTTAAATAAGTAAGCGCGTCGTTTCGTCGTTTCGCGTCGAAGCGTTTCTGTCGTGCACCTTCCACGTTTTATTTTTATCGAGATCGATACGATTTGCCGATCGAAGCGAAGATAGCGGTGCAAGTGCACGGCGATTAGTTCCGTGCGAACTGGTGAATGAAAATATCGTCCACGGTGATTTTTCGTTCGTAAATCGTTCGTTCGTTCAGTCGTACAGTAGTGTCGATCAAAAATCTTGGATGATGTGCTCGCTTTAAAATTGAACAATTGTTCAGCGGAGAATCTGTGAGGTCATCGATACGTCAACAGTGGTGTTGTAAAATACGTAGACGTGTAATTTAAAAAAATTTATTCTCCGCGATAGATGCCCAATGCCCTGACACTTGCAAAATTTTTCAACTGTGAAGGCAAGAATTGTGAACCACTGGCCAAAGCTTATAAAAAAAAAAGAACAATTCTTTCAAGCCACAATAGAAAAATCTGTACTAGCCAATATTCTCCTCTTAATTGACCATTTTCAAAGTCTTCGTCGTACGAAACCATCACTCGAAATTGCCAGTTTCGAAGGTTACTTTTAAGCGAAAGTGTATCTCTCTAATGGATTCGTTTCAAACCTTTACCGAACGGAGAAGAAGTTTGATGTTCTTCGCAAAGCAGCAGATTGTTCCGCGCTTTCTTTCTTAATTAGAAGCCGCGTCTCGGAACACAGACGGTGCTCCGTGCAATTATGGAAATCCATATACCGGTTTCGACGTAAGCTCCCGTATATCCCTGCGGATTAATTAGCCACTTAATTGCCAGGCGAATTTCGATTTAACTGAAAGCTTTCGTGCGCATCCGATGGAAACCGCGCGCTAGGTCTTTCTCAGTGACAACACGCGCGAACAGCCGCGCTTCGATTCAATCTTTCTCTCTCTACATATATATATATACGTATATGTGAATACTTTCTACGATTTGAACCGTATCGTTTACCTCGGATGGAACAGGCGATCTCGTTTCTTTACGCTCTTGTAGCCGCGAAATACGATTCCTCGGGGCACTTACAAAAGGCTTGAAGAACGCGTTTTGCCGTGAGGCTGTGTGAAAAACGTAATGCGACACTCTTCATTTAATAATAGAGACGTAGGAAAAACGCGACTCGAAAAGTCAAGACACTTCTGGAAAATTCGTATTGATTTTTCACTCGTTACCGGTTATATTTGTTGGAAATGATACGGTGTGTTTGTTCTTGTCTTGTTATCAAATGAAATTAGAAAGAAGTACACTTGTCGATGGACAGGCAATAACCTCTGCTGATTCTTCTTCGTTATCTGCGATTTTTCATTCACGCGGTAGAACCTCACGTTCAGGTAAGTGCATTCAATCGTCGGAAGTTGATCCAATCGGATCCAGTAGAATGATAAATGAAACTCTGCTGCACTTGGAATTAATTAATCATAAAGATCTCCATTTTCTTAGTAAAAAAAACTGTTAGTATATTCGACGTATCGATAAAGGACAGGCAGAAGGCGTTAAGTCGTAATTAAAATATTCAATTGCATTCGTTATCCGTTATTTCTTTTTAATTTTCAAACAATCTGACAAATTGAACAAGAGCCTATTCCCCCAGTTAATTCTCGAGCTCGTAGTGGACGAGTGAAAACAGTTCCTAGCCGATTGTCCGAGCACGATCACGTCTAATACGAGTCGAATTGTATTGTGTTGTCCTGCTTCTAATCATAATTGACGATTGCGTAACCAGGCGTCGAAAATAGGCGTCTCAACGATGTGGCACAACACGTCATTGAGAAAAGTCATCGTTAATTTTCGCCTCTCTATTTAGGAAAGTGGAATTCGTGGCGGCGATTCAGAGTGAAGATGAAACGACGCGAGTGAAACCGCACGAGCTGTGGAAGCTACAGCGCGACGACGAAAAAAAAAGGGAACAAAAAGCTCGTAAATGTGACAGCCTCTCCTCGAATATGCGAAAGAACAAACTTTTCCTCTACGAAACAAAGAGCGACTACGTGTGTTTTTTTTTTTTTTTTTATACCAGAATCGCATCTATATTTCTAGACACTTTTTATATACACATTTACTCTGTAGTTGTAACACTTTAACGAAACACACGCGGATGTGGAATGGATATATAAATCGGCCGAGCAATCGCCGCAAGATCTTATCGATTGAGCGAGGAAATAAGGACGAGTGTCTCCATCGGAATCAATTATCGCGTACGCGAGTGCATCGTCAGACGTGTCCGTGCCAATGGATAAACGCTGCTTTCTAGTGGGATGAATGAACGTGACCGGTGGAATTTCTTCGCACGGATGTGAGAGAGAGTTAAGACGAGGCACGTGCTTGGTGAATCGACGAAGATTTGCGGATGGCCGCGCGTGCCAAACACGCCTGAAAGAATCAACCGTTATGACGTGATCCAGCAGCAAGAGGACCTTTAGACAGAGAAGTGGCTCACAAGGATTCCACGGTTATTTTAAGAGCGTCGGTGCGAGCAAGCATAGTTTCTGGCTGAAAAGTAGAAACTGACGTGCACGCGTGTCTCCGATAATAGTCGATAATAATAACGTTGCGGAACAAAGACTGCGAGGGAAATCGAACGCGTGACAGGCTTTAAATTTCCTACTGTTATCTTTTTCTTTTTGTACGATCGAGGAAAGCGCAAACGCCGAATAAATCAAACGAGAAAGCGGGAACAAAAGAGACGAAGCATGGAGGGACGACGGAAAATCGAGATTGTCCGCGTGCCTTCGAACGAGCGCGGTAACTTCCGGTCCGCGGTGGATGGTGTCCGCAGTAGTTACAACTATATTCGTGTGGGCACGTACTGCCAGGAACCGGAAGTCAAAGTGGTAGTTTGCGACAGTAAACCGCCCATCGAGCAGAGTCGAAAATTCAAAAAGTACGTACATACGTCATTCTCCCTTTGTTTCATTGTTTCTTGTTTTACTTCTTGTTGCTAACGATATAACGTTGTTTCAGGCATTTGGGACCAGTTTCGAAGCTGCTCAGACGTCGTCATCACACGGCATATCTCGCGACAAAATCCTGTGATAATATTTATAGCGTGAATAGAAGTACTAGCTCTTTAGACTGGAGAGTTAATCAAACGACGAACGAGGTTCAAGGTACAGAGAGAGAGAGAGAGAGAGAGAGAATCGTTCACTTCCGATTACATACATATATATACACACATGCACATATACCGTTACCGTCGAATCAACGTCAAAACCACACGACCAGCATTCGAAATGATTATTTCAGGCTTTCAGTCTCGTCAGAGTAGCAGCCTCGATTGGCGAGTAGGAAGATCCATCAACAAACTGCATTGGAGGGACACGACACGAAGCGCGGAACAGCTTTCGAGAAGTGGAGCAATCAGTTCTGATCATATTCAAACACCCAGTACAAAGTAATCATCGTTCTATTGCACGCGTTTGACGTAGGGACGACAGCTAATGGGAACTATACAAACCTTGCAGGTCGAAATTGATCTCGTTGTTACGGAGATTGTCACCGCGACTCTCCCGACCAGGGAGTAAAAGTTCCTTGCAAGCCTCGCCGACGATTTGCCCGTGGGTGCAGGTAGAGTACTCGTCGGAGTCGATCAACGACGGGCTGCGAGAAGACTCGCAGGAATGCGACGTCAGCTTCCAGAGAGAGCTGCAGCTAAACGAACTGAGGAAACGCATGGCTGGAATCCCTACCACTTCTCAGGTGATTTTTGTTACGATGTTACACTGCGTTGTTTCGTACGATAGGAACGATCGATCGTTGCTCGAACAAAGGTAAATCGAAGGCGTGACCACCTAATGGTTTCCGCCTCGAGCAATTTAAAAAGAGAACGTGGAGACATCTCCGTTTAACGGTGTCGTGTTTTTATTGTATCAACTGACTACTGACAACAGATGGACGATCGGTAGGACAATTTTTTATCGAGAGATTTTTACCTCTCAGGTTACCACGAAAGTTACCAAGGATGGCAAGGAACAGCAAAGCTCGACACAGATCAGGATACACGTGCAACAACCAGAAAATGATTGTACTAACGCATCGAAATCGTAAGCTTTATTTTTTTTTTTTTTTTTTTTTTTTTCTCATTTCGTTTCTTTCTTTCGTTTCAACCACACCTAGAACAATTTCTCGCTTTTGCATCGAACGTCAAATGTGATGGATATGATATATCTCCAGAATCCCGTGCGCTTTAAAACAGAGCAAGTATATATACTTCCAGATCCCTGCATGCAACCTAATCAATTGCACCTAACGTTAGCTCGTAAGTAAACGTAAACGATAGATGTATCACACCCAATAAACAATTGAGAATGTTCTCCGCACTGTGGTCTTAATCTTCACCTTTAGTTTCACGCAAGACGCACGACTATCTTTTGGACTGCATCCCAAGTCTATGAAATAAATAACGTAATTAGCAGGTGTTTGTAGAAATAAATAACAAAGGAATTGTTCGACGTTAAATACTGACAATTTTTATTGATACGAATACTATGATACATAAAGCGGGCGCATCTTGCCCGCCGTTCATTATACAATTATTAATTCGTTCGAGGAACATACGAAACGGCGACACGAGTCATATAAAGTAATTAATCTTCATAATATGTACAAATCAAATTGTAAAAGTAATCTGTACAGTAATGGTTCACGTATTTGTGAAGGCGAGTGACGCTTACGTTTTTGAAAACTAGGCATAAATGGTTGTCTTTCGACGGCACTTGAATTAACACACCGTCTTGCTCTTTAGGATTCACGTAGTCTATGGTATGATCATCGCCTAAATGACTGGTATTAAATTGAATTATTACATCGAGAACCCCTGGTTCCTCCTCTAGGTCCGAACATTCTACAGGATCGGATAAATAGTCTGCAATGTCGGATACATCAGACTCGTCGGTATCACGATATTTAGGTTTCTGAGGCGATGAGCTTTTCAGTTTTAACGGAGATGGCATCAATAAATTTTTACTCACCGTGCGTGCACACTTTGACTGAACTATTTTCTGTAATAGATCATTCTCGTCGAGTTCCTTCTGATCGGTGGAGCTCAATGGAGTATTGCACTCTGATATAGTGTTATTTTTATCCTCGTCATCGTTGCTATTATTACTTAGGTTTTCTTGCGCTTCTTCGGTTTCACTCGAGTATGCTCTATTGCTGTATGATTTGTCGTCGTTTACGTAAGTATAAGGTTCATTGTCGAGCAATTTGTCACATATCAACGTGTAAGAGCCCGACGTCCATCTCTGCAGCTCTATCTGCATCCTAGGCTTTGTAATCTCGTCCTCCGACACTATCAGATCTAATTCCGTGTAATCTTTAAGCAATTGGAACATCGTAACTGACTTAAACATATTGTAGAACTGTTTCAATAAGTCGGGAAGAGTTTCTTCGTCCGCCACTTCGTAATTACGAATATCAGCTGGCCCAACCTTCTTCCAAACGATTGCATCAGATGTCACATCTGTTTGAAGTGTTTCATAAATTTCATCTTTCAAGTAATGTGATAGAAATGTGTACGAACTCGTTTCTACGTCCTGTTGAATCTGTTTGATTATTTTAGGAAATAAATAACACTCTGATATCCAGTAATCCAAATCAACACGTTCGGGTATTGGATCTATGTAATTGGACAAGATTTCTGTTCTTGGTCGCCACACACGTGGTCGAAGTGGTCCATGAAACCAACCGTTTATAGACCAACGTGACTTGTCAGGTGATGTTATTTCAGCTACTTGGTGATAAGAGTTCTCTAAAACTTCGAAAAACACAAGGGAATTGTATTCTGGTATTAAAGATTTCACAACATTCCTGGGCAGATTATTTTCATCTATGTCAAATAAATCCAGAGCTCCTCCATCATCCTCGGTCCAATCTTTTGAGAGGTATAATACAAAAGCAATTTTTCGGTCACCCATATTATCATCATGACACAATAAATAATCCGTATCGTAGTAACAAGAACTTGACATTGATATCTTTTTGCTAAGTCTTATATTAGTGTTACGTTCCATCCATTCTGTCAAATCTGTTTGAAAGGTCTCGTACAATAAATTTAAAATTTCTCTGTCAATGCTAACGAGATCCTCAGTTTGTTCAAACTGATAAAGGTCTATGCAATTCCTTCTAATTCTAACATCCAACAATTCATTCTTTATCTCATCCATTAGTTCCTCGCTGCAAATAAAGTTTGATATTCTGCATACCCTAAATGGTTTTGATATAATTTCAAAGTTGTCTGTCTTTATGTCAATGCGATTGTGCCAATGATCGGAAAATAATTTCTGAAATTTAGTTGAATAGACAAAATCAGAGATGACAGATTGCTTTTTCCTTTTCTGTTGCGGTTCTTTCTCAGCCATTACTCTGTACTTTCTTTCAAACGATTGATAAGAATTCTTATTTATATATTCTTACTCTATCAGTCTTTTTACTCTTATCCTTTGTATCAGCAGTACATGTCCTTTGTTAGTTTTGCTTAGAAATACTTTTACAAGTTGACGAACTATATCACATTGTTTCTCATATACACAGCAGGGGCAGATATACAATATTATATATCTTGATCACGTGTGCTTAATCGTCTGTAGCATTAAGTTTCCAATAGAAAATACCAATATACTACCCAATTTGACTTTCGATTCTCCTCAAAGTATCATCCTCAAAGGTTATCACGTATTTGCATTGCGGTTGATAATGATTATTATAATTGAATTTCCACTTGGCAAATTAATGTCTCATTCTTCGTTAAGGTTCAGCGTTGATGGTAAATATCACAGTTTCCTTAAATATATGCACCAGACGATGCAGTACTTACTTTTCGATACATGCGGTCCACGTGGTCGTTCGACCTGCACGTGTTCTGAAAAGTTGATTGAAAACTCGATTAATAAGATCTCGTTTGCGCCGTGATCGTATCGACTTATCGAACAAACGATCATGCAACGTCTTACGTCGCCTTTCTCGATAACTACGTACCAAGAATTGCACGTGTGTCCAAATTTAGAGAATTAGTTTTGTCGTTCCGTGACACCACGAGGTTGCATTCTGCCCAGGGACTGTTACAACACAACCGCTGGCGAAACCGTTGATTCGATCGGAACTCAGGGACGTCGCGAATTATTCGTGAACCCTAACCACACATAGCTCTTTCGCTACGTGCGATTCGTACTTAACCTTATTTCGTACCGTCTGACGTCACGAACTGTTGTGAATTGGTGCCGCGTTCATTTCAAATCTCCGTACCACGTAAATTTTCCTCTTTAATACTATTTCGTTCGGGAAATCGTGTCACACGTGTAACAAAGTCTATTGAAAGACCATTAAATATTAAAACGATTTTGCAATCTGTCGTATATACATCACGAAAACTCCAACGTCGTATCTTTTCATTTATCGTGAATTTAATTTATCGCAAACGTGTAACGTATTTACTTGAATCGCAATTCGATTAATCCGCACATTATGCACAATAAAATTTGCAACTTTGTAAACAATCGTTCAACGTTTAACATCTCAAGTTTTAATTAGCATTATCGAAATTTGCAAGTAGAATGAAAAAGTACATTGTTACATTGAACCTCGTGTGACTGATTTACCGTTTCCGCATATTTTAGTACGGGGCACTACGTAGATTGAACGACTTTCAAATCTAACGACAAGATAACAGATTTTTCGATTGTTCGAAATTTGATTTTGAACAGTGCGCGTGACAGTGGCCGCCATTAGTTCGGTGACTCGCCGTGCAGCGCCGCTGCGAGCGCTCGTGTCAAGATGGCGGCAGTAGCTCACGTTTGACGGATGCCGTTGGTCGCATGGAAATTCGGGGCACACCCTGACCGTGTAAATTGTACAAAGTGTGATATCGTCAAGTCGAATGTTCGATTGTCGTGAAATCCTCGTGTGAAGAACCCGCTGGCAATCCTGGAAGCCGACGCACGAACAACTTGCGCATACGTGAGTAACGACACACCAATGAGACCTACGTACACACAGCGTGACAAGTCTCGTCCTTTCGGTTTTTTTTTTTTTTTATCCCCCGGGATCTGTCAACACGCGGTCCTTCCTTCGGAAAAATGCGCGTTGCCTGCTTGTCGTTAGTCGATACGCTCGACAACCGAGGGGTGGGGTTTTCTTATTGAAATCGGCGATGTAAACAGGCGGTTAGGATACTCGGGTTTTCTCCCAGTCACCTTTTGTTTGTGTCGAGATCACGTTGTGCCGGGACGTTGTTGGCGAGATTTCTACGCGAACATTTTGTTCGAAAATCGCCTCTCTGAATGGTCCCGTCTCGATCGATAATATTCAGCTGTCATTGTCGAACGCTCGATCGTGTTTCCGCGATTCTTCGTTTTATTGGGCTGATCTGCTATGTTGGCCTTGAACCGGACTCTTACTGCCCTACTGTAACGAATTACGGCGTGACGGAGCTTTCGAATTTTGAAATCTACACGCGCAACCGCTTGGATGGAAACCACAGGTGAGTCAGGTGGAATTCCACGATCGCACGTCACTCTCGTCATATTCGATTTTGTTACTCCTTCTATGTTCTCTCGCCATCCTGCGCCGCGTACAAGGGGATCTCCGTCAGAGATTTCTTTCCGTCTGTAAGTGACTATCGATTGCCATAGGGAACTGCGTTTCTCCCACGTCACACTTTGTTTTTCTTAGTGCCGTGTTTCTATATCCAGTAACGATCGACGAACAACACGTATACGTGAGAAACACAGGTATTTTTCAAAATGCCACGTAGGAAGTAATTATCGCGTAATTTTCCGATTATCGATATTATAGCATCGAATCGTACACGTTTTCTATTATATTCGTAATGATAAGATAAGATTGGACCATGAAAGTTTTTCGCGATGAGTTAGGTCATTCGCCTTTTTTTCTTTTTTTTTTTTTTTTTTTTTT